ATGATTGTGCATATTGACGCAATAAATAAACAAATTCAGGTGATCTCATTAACATGATCTGCTGGGGTTACAGCATCACTCAACACCAAACCACAGTACAGTCATCCTTTACCCAGAGCCAACAAATACTCTAGTGTTTCTCAACCATTCTGTTTGATCTGTTGTGGTGATTCTACAGGTGCTGTGGAAAGCAACACTACAGTATTATAAACAACTGACTTAATACTGTAGTTTTCTACAACTATAGGGTATATTATACTACAATACACCAGTCTACTGTAGTAAACACTGAAGTATACAATAACAGCATATCAGTTCACCTATAGTAAATACTACAGTATGCTGGAGCATCCATTAACAGAGTCATAAATACTGTAATATATATAGTATGGTTCAAAAACACTAGTATTTACTGTGGTATTTTATACATACACTTGTTTGTTCAAACTCAGATGCTGTTGGTTTATCTTCAGAACACAAATGAAGGAATATTTCTGACTCCTCAGTCAAAAGCTTCTCACAGTGCTGAACACATTCATCTTTATCAGTGTTCACAGTGCTCAGATTCGAGATTCATTCCTCCAGCATCAGGAGTTCTGCTATTGTTTGGTGATCAGGGAATAAAATGTTTAATAAAAACATCTGTACATTTATAATAATAATAAAACTGCTCATCATATAAAGCTGTGTCCTCTATACAGCAGCCTTTGATTGAACACATGTCTAATTTGCTTCATGTGTTCATCAGAGCAGTGCTCATGTTGTTCTGTTTGACATGTTTTGAGCAATCGTGTTGTATATTCAGAGTTTTAAATGCAACTCCAAACACAAACGACATGTATATTAGGGCTGCACGATATTAAAATAATAACATTGTGATATATTTCACTGGATGAGTTGAATAACTATATGGAGAGAATTTATAATTTTAGATTGACTGGGATGATGCTGTAGGGGAGTGCATAAAATATAATAAACAATCCATAAGCATATTAAATAGAGGTAAAGCTGGTTTTATATTGGGATATTCAGACTTTCTCCTTAATAATATAACGTCAGAAAAGTATTCTTTGCAAATTCTAAATAAAGAAATCAGATTAGCAGCCAATGACTATCAAATTACAGCATTGTTCACTGTGAATTAGACAGTGTTAATGTTGTTAACATGTCATACTTGCATGCTAATTTCCACCGAATATTCAAAGCAACATAGTAAACAATATAGAGACTGCTAAATAAACCAATGTGCCAATATAAAACCAACTCTACCTCTTTCAACAAAGAAAAAGACACATTAAATAATCAGCATTTTAATTTAGTCCAAGGAGTCAAACCATATTCAGGTGTACAGTAATTAGAATCAAATGTAAAATAATACTGCATAGTCTTTATTTTATAAACAATTCAATAAAATCTAAATCAATTGCTGTTAATTTGTCAAATTCTTATGTCTGCATGCTTTTAAAACCATCAAAAAAACACAAGCGAAATGATAAATTATAATCCAGACTCATGATCATATTGCGATATCGATGCTTAAACAATATATCTTGCAGCCCTATCTATATATCTATATATATATATATATATATCTATATATATATATATATATAATTATAATATATTTCTGTAGAAAACTATCATAATTTTAGCTTTTGTGTAGTTCATTTGCAGTTTAAAATCTCTTTTAAATCTAATTTAATACCTTTTTAATCAAAAAGGATACATTATACTACTTTTAAACATTAATTCTCACATGTTTTTGAGAATTATTTACAATGACGTAATCAAATGTGCTATAATTATTAGAAGGAAAAAAAATATTATTTAATACATAATTATTTAATATTAGAAATGTATATTTGTCTATATTTTTTAATTACGTTACTTTAGCTTAGTTTGTTTGTTTTAAACCAGATTAAACAATGTTTATTGCATTACAAATGATTATGAAAGCATTTTGGGGCTGTTTGCTTCAGTGCATGAGGGTTAAATATCTTCATTTGTCTTCCAAAGATGAGGATTTGTCTGAGTCTGAATCAGTCCTAA